AGAGTTGTCCTGCACCTTTTTTCCAAAGGAAATAGACAACTTGCAAAAGGTTGCAGAAGAAAGTGCTGCTTTAAATCTGTTTTATATTACTGCAAGTATGTAAGGAAGCTAAATAGTGTTTTTACTTTTCTAATGGAAATACATGTAATTTCTGTTATCCATTTTGCGTTGATATAGGAGGGAAAATTGCATTTGTACTAACTCTTGAAAAATTCTTTTGGAATCTCTTAATGGCGCTGTATTGCAAGAGGATATGTTATGAGCAGTTTGATACTTTTTTATCCTCTCCAGAATACTTACTGCATTGTGAATGGGGAGAATTTAAGCATGTGGAGATAGGATAGTTTCCTATTAAAAAAAAACAAGGCATGTACTAACATCAAGTATAAACAGGCACATATAAACAGGGATGGCTTATGGAACAAACAAAACAGGCAGCTTTTTCCAGGAGAAAGTGTTGTCACAGTCTGGTTAATCAAGGAGGTGGAAAAAGTTCTTGATGGTCTCTTGCAGGTGTAGTGTTGCATGCTTGCTACCTTTTTAGCAACTAGTTCTCTTAAGTCTTAGGATACTTTACAAGAAATTCCCAAAAGAGTCTTATAACCACCTCTGTATGGTGGGAGGATCCCTTTAGAGCACATAACCTTAACTCAGGTATAGAAGGGGACTTTCCTACTAGTTAGAAAAGCTGTTGCCCAGTAGGGTCTTATCCAATTTTCCCATTTGCCATTCAGCATTCTTTTGGATGCGTGGCCACAATCTACTCCTTCATCTGTCAGTGCAGATAGTCTTCAAGGTATTCATAGTTTCTGCTAAAAGGGAATGGAATATCCAAGTCCTTGGACATTGTCCTTATTGCAGCACAGCAAACAGGAGCTAAGATGTGAACACTGAGATGAGATGCAAGGACAGAAGCATAGAACTGCTCTCCAAGATACAGGCACTTTGCCTGGAAACTCAGGCTCTGTGGTATTTCTGAAGACTTTCTCCACCTCTGGAGATCTGCAGCACTGCTGTCTGAAGTGTCATCCACCCTCCTGCTAAATCTGTCTGTCCAAGCATACAGAAGCACTTAGCAAAGCCTTGCTACTGTCTGTAGCTTTGTGTTCTTAAAACAAAATAATAGAGAACTCTAAGTAACATAGTTAATAGTGGTTGGAGAGGGTAAATCAGAACGCCATTTGGCAAAATCTTTCATGACATTGTGTTAACAACAGGCGCATTGACAATCTGTCCTCTTTTGCATGGAGTCTCATTAATAAATCTGTAGGTCAAACTGAAGGGAGGGTTTTTCTTTTCAATGTTCAGTAGCAAATGCTTTCTTTTGTCAGAATGCATGCCTATTGAAGTTATAGAAATTTCTTACATTACATTTAATTCCAGCAAAGAGCAAACAGTCTAATGTAAGCTTCAAAATTGTACTTGTGCCCTAACTTCTAAACTATCACTGAGATGGAGACTAAAAATAACAGTGTGTATTTTGTTATTGCTGCTTTACTTGGTGTTTTGAAAAATTGCTGTTGACAACCTTTTAATACAGGATGACCAACCAGGCACTTGCACTCACTCAGATAAAGCCTTATCTACTCACAAGACTTTTGTTCTTGTGAACATTTAGAATGCAGTTAATAAATTATTGCAGGAATATGCTACATTACTTTCTGGCTTATATATATTGTCACCACAGTATTACATTGGAAGAGTTTTTTTCTGATTATGTGTCAGTCACTAAAATGTTGACTTTAAAATTCATATTTTAAGCTAAATTTGCAATGCTGGAAGACCATAAATATCCTCCCATTTAAAGTAAATAATGAACCTGGGTCATGGGAAGCAGAGATAAGGCTTTTCTTGTTATGTATAAACACAAAAATAGCTTCAGACTTGCAATTTCAAATCTGAAGCTGAGACTTCTACTGAAATGTTGGAAAGTATTTGGCAGTCCCTGTAGTTGTTAGGAGACTCAGAAATGTCATGGGTAGTTCCTATTTTGTAATAACAGTGAAAAAAAAATATAACTACTTTAGATTTCAAGGTCACAGTCTGGACAGACTTGACTTTTGCTGCCTTAAGAGTGAGGACAAACTTTCCAGATCAAAGTATCCATGTAATATGCATGCTATCATTGCCCTTGTTCCTTACAGGAATGGAGTACAGCTTGCTCTCCCTCTGGCCCTAGGTCCTCCAAAAAGGTTTTCACTATCAGTGGTTTACTCCTAAATGGAGTAACTTCAGACAAATTAAATTTTAAGCAAGCTTATTCATTTTTGTGACTTGGGCCATAATCACAGCCTTGCTACAAATACAAAATGTGCACAGTGTTAGGAAGAAATAGAACTTCTAGTAAGCAGCAGTTATCAGAAGTTCAAAACAATCAAAAATATCTGTGAGGATACATCATGTGATTCTACAGTGCCTGCAGCATGACTGAGCCTTCACAGTTATTGAAAATAACACAAGTGCTTGTAGCTCTTGACAAGAGGTTATTCCTATGTCTCCTTAATGATTTCTAGTATTAGAAATCTGAGATTGCCAGTATTAATGGTTGCTTTTTTGTGTTAGAACAAAATTAATTCCACCCACTGGCTCTTGCAATACTCGAGTTCTTTTGTTCTTTATTTCTTTGTTACAGCTGTGTACTAGATTCATTGTTGAAGTGGACAATATTTAGCATATGCTGTGGCTGCAGTTAGTTTTAAAGCTCCTTCCTGCACGATTTCCTTTCTACTTTTTTTTTCAATTGTGAAGTCTGAGTGTTCCTGAAGCTTACGATATGTCACAGAAATCAAGGGGGGAGGGAGAGAAGGAAGTCCTTACAGCTTCAGCCAGTTACACAGAGCAAGACAGTTTACATATTTTAAAAAAACAATACAAAGCATAATACACACTGGAGCCTTCTTACTCAAAACTAGTTTTATTTTAAAAAATAAGTTGAATGCATAGCACTCACAAAGATTCCATTGTTTTGGACATTTTGCATTTAGAAGCACCATTCTTATTTATGCCATAAAAAACCACATTTTGGTTCTAATAGTAAGAACAGTGTATTTTTAATGTACACTGATAAAGCCCTTTTAAATAATATAGATTGAAACTGTTCAGTGTACATTTTCTCTGTAGTAATGATGCAGCTGTAGTGTCAGAAAAAACTCAGACTAAGTAATAAATTAAAAACAAACAGTATGTAGTGGATCTTTTTACAATTGACCTAATGTCTTAAAATAGTCAAATAAAAATACCCTATTATATGTAAAGCTGTGGTATTAACTAACTGAATAAGCCCCCCACCCATTATAATTCCAGTGTTAAGTATTAGTTAATTTTTTATATACCAAATGCCTATGGGATAAATTTACTAATACCCCCCAAAAAAGAAGAGCCTATACTGCTGTGTCACAAAAAAAGATGACAAGTTAGCTGATTTGAAGATTTTACAGAAAAAAAATTGCTACAGGCATCTGCTGTTATTTCAAGTCATGGTCTATTATAAGACTGTACATTCATAGCATCAGAGGTAGTTAGAGCACCTGGACTTGGATACAGCATTTCAACAAAATGAAACCATTTCCCTCTAAAATGGGTAATAGTGCCGAGTAAAAAGCATGGCATCTTAGGAGGTGGAAAGTCTCTACTTAACACTACTCTCAGACACAGGGAAATATTCATTAAGAGATGAAAAGAGGAGAGGGGAAAAAACAATCCAACTTTCATTTTAATAAAGAATTGACCACACTATGCCTATTTCAAAGTTGATTCTCTAGGATAAAAGGGAGAGGGTCGTCTTTTCCATTCATCCTCCTATTCTTCTTGACTTGCACATCTATGCTACAAAAGCCCACAACAAAAATTGAGATTGAAAAGACAAAACGAGAGAAACAGGATTTCTTCTCCTTAACAATACGTATTTTGTAGCATGTTATAATTTAGCCCCAGAAAGAATGAACACAGCTGTCCTTCCTCCATTCTGAACATTATGGTGATAAAGCTTTCATATTCATATTGATCATGTAATTTAATTGCCCCTGCTTTCAAAACAGTTTCTGTAAGTCACAATAATTCAGTATTATTTGATGGTACACAATTTTAAGTGCTGCCACTAAGACAGGGAAGAAGATGGTAAAAAACCAAATGAAACTACCAAAAAAAAAGCCTTAAACCCATATACTATAAAGATATTTTAAAGTAGTAAGAATCTTGTCATTCATACCACTTCCTCCCATATTCTATCACTGGAGAAAGTCTGATATCTTCTTGTATTTAAACAAAAAAAAAACCAACCAAACAAACAAACCCCCCAAAAAACCCCAACAAACACACAACCCCAAAAACCATCTCCATTAATAACTCTACTATAATTTTCATCCAAGAGGTGGATGAAAACCCTAAGACTACCCACTCCACAGGAGATAGTGTAATTCCATAAAGTTATATTATTAGCACCTTACTTGTGATGAAGCAGTTCACTCTTCAAAATATTTTTGATCCACCCACTTGGAAGAGCAAATCTCTACATCTTCTGGAACTTCCAAATAGTAGAAGAAAAAGTTGCCCCTTTATTACCTGAGAATTTCCCTCCACTATAAACATGACAGAACTGGATTTCTGTCAGCATTTAAGTGTAGTTTTTCTGTAGGGATGATACTGTCAGTACAACTGGAGGATGCTTTCTGTTAGTTAATAATATTCATGTGTTTGTGTGTGTGTACACAGAGAAATCATAGCCCTGTAGTAGTTCTGGTACAGTACAAGTTCAGTTGAAACCTTCTCTTTTCTTCAATTATCACACTGCTGGGCAGTAGTTCACATCTACATTTTGTGAACACTAACATATCCCTTTGGTACTCTGCATAGATGCCCTGACTCCACTTGCTATTAGTCTCTTCCCTCTCTGCCTTCCTTCCCCAAGTTATACCCAATTAGTGTACAAACCAGCAGCACAGAGTAATGAGTAGAAAAGTCCCTGAGTTAGTATGAAAGAGTTACTTTAAGCACAAAAAAGATAGGGAGGATAAAAGAGGCAAAAATATATTGTCTGTCCTGTAAGGTACAAAACCTAAAAACTAGCCAAAATACCAGTTAATTCACATGCGTTACCCTAAAGCAAATAACCAACACAAGTCATGAAACAGGGGCAAGATTATGGAGTTAGCCACATGAGATTTGTTTCTTCCTGTGATTTCCATGTACCTGCAGAGGTCTGGCATTCCGTGGATTCTTAAGTTTCAGTAAGTATAACGTGTTAATACTGTACGGTGGGATGACATAAATGTCTTCAAAGTAATACTGCATTTCTCCTTCATTAAAAGTCTGTAGTTAGTCCACAGTTGTTTTTCTTTTGAATACTATTTCACAGACACACATTAGAAGCAGAATATTCTGAGAGTCAGAGTAAGAATGCATTATCCCCATGCATACAGATTCTTTTTCAGAGGATGGTCTGTGTGCTAACTTTTTGCAGGCTGTTATTTGAGCTGTGGTACCAGTTGCCAATCCAGTTGCTTTTTTTCCTGGGATGACACCTTTTTTATTTAATTTTTTTGCCCTCAAACTTTGAGGTTTAACAAAAAAAAATGAAACCATTTTCCAGGCAACTCTCTGCCCCAAACAAACAAGCACAAAACCATTTTGTACTTATCACCTCTCAAAGCAGGGAGTAATACAGGAGTATCGTCCATTCACTTGGTACGTCCGGTTGTAGGAGACACTTATACATGGCTTCACTTCCAGTGGCACAGCCAGCGACATGGCAGCACCCTGGACGTGGCCTCGAGCCTGAGCACTGGTCTGTAAGGCAGCAGGGCAAGTCTGGAGCGGGTAAGAGGCTGTGTGAGTGGATGATAATATCTGCTGGCAGCTTGGCTGCTGTGATGCTGGGTGGTGGTACTGCAGGGAAGACTGATGAGCCTGCAGGTACTGTGGTACGTGCTGCTGAGCATTGGCCTGCTGGGCACTTGGAGCTGGGGGCTGAAACACAGCGTGCTGGGCAGACTGAGCCTGTTGTCCTTTCTGCTTGTTCGCTTCCTTCACATCGTTATCATGCGCACTAAAACAAATTGAAAAGACAAAATGAATAAAAATATATATTAATATCATTTAAATTCCTTTGAGTTAATGTTTAAGAGCACTCTAAAAAATGATACAAGTATCTGACAGCTTCCAAAACTTTAAAAATAATTAAAAAAAAAACAAAAACAAAACCAGTTTTAGCTACCCTTTACAATCACCTATGGTTTCAAAATCTGGTTAGGGTACAGTCTCTCTTTCCAGCATTTCACTTCACTGTATAGCAATAAATACAGATAAAAGCCAAGTACAATACATGTAGTAGAGCGGGATCTAGAATTACAGTGCAATAAAGTTTGCTACTGTACTTTAGTAGCCCAATAAATTACCAGATTACCTGAACTTGCTGCTTCAACCTAATTTAAATTACACACAGCATAAGGTTTCTAAAGAAAAGACACCACAAAGGTTTGCAATACCTACTGTTACTGTTGTATGCATATTCATATTGGATCCTGTTCTAGAGACTTTTTTTTTTCTTCCTCTCACCTTTTTTCTAGCCTATCCAGTATGGCTCATCTGAATTACCTTTGATTTACAACTGTCTGAAATGTATCTAGACGCACTCTCTTTTTTAATTCTACGCTGAGGTTAAGCAGATGCCACCTACACATTTCATTCCTAACTTTGGTGCCCTCCCTCTGTTCCAGAGCAATACTGAGAACACTTCTGTAACAGCACTTGCATGCTTTAGGTACTACTCCTTTCATTATACACATAAGTGAAGCCAGCAGAGGCCATCAAGGGTGATAATGTCACATTTCTAAGGCTGACGTGGTTCTTCCAGATACAGCTATGCATCTGCTGATCACAACTATGTTAGACTTGGGTAAGAGCAAATTTCTGTAGAGGGAAAGCAGATTGTGTAACATGCCTACCCAGGAAGGTTCACTTGGTATTCACTGACATTTTTATCTCATGTCAGTTGTAATGCAAAAATGGATACAGCAAAAATAGATACAAACTCCTGGTCATTTCCTCCCACCAAACTGGCCACTCAAATAATCTGCAAGTTTGATCCATCATCTCTTTGAAGCATGCCTTGAACTTCGAAGGCATACAGTCTTCTCTATAAAAGCTCCTATGCCTTTAGTACTCTTCAACAGCTCTTTGCTCTCGGAGCCGACTAGAGATTGGAAACAAGCTATTGAAGATGCTCAAAGCATCCCAGATGTTCAGTGAAAATGCAAGGCAGAAGTTTATTTGTTGAAAGATCAGGAAAGAGATTAGATCTGATAAAGTTTTCTCTGTTGGAAAGAGCAAGACAGTTATTGCCTAAAAAGATCTACCAAACTTATGTGTTCCCTAATACATAAGTATTTTTAGAACAAAGGAACGGAAATTTATAAAGAAATGTAATTGCACTATTGGCAGCAATTAAGCGTAACAACAGATGCAGAAATGGGCTTTAAAAAGCCACTGGTGTTAACTCACATTAAGAGTCGCTCAATACATGGCACCAGGAAGTCCCAGGAGTAGGCAGTCAGGTGATGCAGCCGCGTAGGCCACGTGGGTGAGAGACGCAAGATAATCCTTGAAGAAGCTACACATGCAGTAGCAACTAAAGAAGGGGCATAATTTAAAAATTCATGATCTAGAAAGAAGGAATGAGAAAAAAATTCATTTAAGTTTGGCATTGTCTGTCAAGACAACCAAGAAGTCATTTGAAATCTGTAACTCACCTTGCAATGATACTTCCAGAAAGTAATCAGCATATTTTGCCATATATAACTTAGTCTTCTCTAAGCAAACCATTGGCCAGCCATCATGAAGATCAGTCTCATGGACAGCAATAGAAAGATAATAGTCGATGAAATGAGCAGCAGTAGGGAGGCACAAATTCCACTGAAATGTTTCTAGCAACAACAACTCCATATGAAGCAAATTCTGTTTTGTTAGTACCAAATTCATGTTCGTCATACAACCCAGGCTGTTCAACTGTTCAAGTTTGGGAACACTGTCTTCCTTTTCTTCAAATTTACCTTCAGGTGAACAGAAAGAGAAGGGAAAAAAAAGGTTCAGCACAAATGAACTATAAAATGGATTGCAGCTAATGTCTTGTTGGTCATATTTCAATTCTACTGTGTCAAACAAGCTTGAGACTTTCCTGCAGATTCAAAGCTCAAATGGATTATGTCATTAGAGACAAAAAGGGGTATGTACTAAAATGAGCTAAATTTCAGCAGATAATGTCAAACATTGTGTAGGATATTGTGCAGTGCCATGTTTCCTGTTGGTTTTCCCATGCTGGCACACAGAAGCCAGCTGCCAAGAGCAGAATATTAGGACATCACTGACACTGCATATGCAAGTTTTTGTCACCAAATTATTGTATAATGTTTCCCATCATCAGTGAAATACCACTTTGATGTGACTTGGCACACACACCACAAGAGCATTTGGCTTTAATCACCCTCCCACCCCCACACACCCTTTTTGTGTCTAAAACTCATTAGAGCATAGCTAGAGCTCCAGCCAACCTGGCTGCTTTTATTGCCTGCAATGGTAGGTGCAGTTTTATACTTGAGATCTGGCAAACAAGTGGATTTCAGCAGCGTGCATCTGAAAACCTCCTCTGCCACATACACTGTTGCAACCTCCCTTGGACTTTCAACTTATCAGGCCTGTATGTTTTTAGCCTAAAGCAAAACTGTGTATGTAGAAAGCCCATTAATAAGAGAAACAAGTGTCACATTTCTATACAGTTTGCCATATGGTTGTGCTATTTCAATTTCATTGCAAATTCTTTCCATCTTACACTCTCTATTTAGTGCTACATGATAGGCTGTAAATGTACATTCTTTGAGTTTTGCAGGATGGAACATACATGAACTTTTTTCAACAATGGAGGTACTTATATAGGACTTAATCCAATACCAGTGCCAGTCTGTTAGTTTTTGTTTCCCATACTCCAGTAATTACAGAAATAAAAACTTCAGGAGTCACATAATAATTTCTCTTATTATTTCCTTAACCTTATCAGATATATCACAATGTCATAACTTGTTAGACCACTGATTAAACTGCTTGTTTAAGCCACACAGGGCAAAAGTTTAAAACAGCATTTTGCTTCTCTCTCAACCAACCCATACAGTGCTTCTCAGAAGAGTGAGTACTCCAAGCTTTCAAATCTCTACTTGCAGCTTGCCATGAGTGATGGCAGAGATTTGTTTAAAACACAACAAAGCAAAAAATTCTCTTCAGAACATGAATTTAATTTGAAAATACAGCATTAGTTCAAAGCCAATCCATTTTCCTAAATGGATTATGGTGGTTTCTGAGGCAATGTTTTCATACTCAGCACGACAGTCTTTGCCAAGAGAAGATTACTGACTGGCTGGTGGCACCTAGTCAAAGTCTACCCTCAGAAGAATCTGAAATAACTCTTTTTCTGGTTTAACTGCTCTCCTGAATAGCTGTATTGGTGGACACGGGATGCAGTGAAAAGATGAAATCTGTCCAATACCACTGCACTCCAGTTTTGTAGCAAAGAGGGCCTAGAGCCCTTACTGGAGAAAATGAGAATACATTCAGAGAAACAGATCAGCAGAAACTGAACCAACACTTAGTTCTGCTGCCAGGACCAGTTTCTCTGACTATTTGTCTAAGAACAAGTGCCAGCAGGTTTCCCAGCAAACGGTACCCTTATTTTTTCAGGGATATTGAAAAAGGGTCCCCACATGGTCAAAGATGGGTACATGCCACAAGAATCTAACTGAGGTCAATATAAGCAGCACTGTTTATAATGAATGTTTGCAATTAATTGTCTTCAGAGTATTGTGTACTCACCAATGTATTTTATATGTGACAATACAGGATTTATGTTAGGCATAGCTTGCTTAAATAACAGTTACATTTACAAAACCTGGAGTATTCCAGAACTACACAGCACAATCAACAGAATGCAGTGCAGTCAACATGTGGTTTATTTAATTTCTTTCTTTATCAGAGATATGCAAATTTCTCATTTCCAGCACAGGACACACGTATTTTGAGATACCCCTAGAAAGACAGTCTTTCTGTTCCTACAACACAGGTCTTAAAGTTCACATTAGAATAATCTGTTTACAAATATAAACATTAGGTTTTAATCACAGCTTGTTTTTTCCTACCCTCAGTTTCATCAGATGCCAACAGAAATCAAAACATGTCTAAAGAAATGCTCTACCAATTATGCCAAACTGGTATGCGCTGCTCATCATTTATAACTACTTTGTTTCCCCCACCTGCTCCATCCCACCAGGACACACCTTGCATTTGGCAGTAGAATCTAGTAGTAGTAGTCTAGTTAAAGTTGGGTGCCACATACTTACTTGCTAAAAGTAAACAGGACAGAGCAACCACGTGCAGTTGCTGTGTGGATATGTCATAGCGGTCCATGAAGAGGTCCAGCAGGTACACAGCCAGGTGGCGCGCAGCAGGACAGAGCCTGAACCGGTTGCTCACAATGGCAATCAGGTCTGCAAAGTATCTTCTCAGGTGTAACTGGGGAGACTGGCCTTTGTAAGAAGGCAGTTTTAGCTCCTAGATGGACCACAGCAGGTAATGTTATTAAAACCGTAACTTAGTTTGAAGTGGTATCAGATTAATATAGCTGATATTTTAATATTTATAACAGAAGTTTCAAAGGATTTCTCCCTTCTCATCATTTCAATATCCCTTCACAGTGAACAAAATCTATTTGTTGTATTACAGAACAACTAAAAATTACTTTGTTTCTGCACAATATTAACAAAATTTAACATATTTCATTAGGGCAATCAGCCAGAGTGACTTCAGCTTTTACCATGTCTGTTGTATTACCTCTGCTGCAAAGGCTGTACAAGGGCATGCAAGTATTCCTCAGCTGCTTCAATGCAAAGTTCAATAGTTTAACTCAACCCCTCTCTTGCTACAGCTCAATCTGGGCAACCAGACTTTGCACTTAGTGTTTGCGTGTTCTAGAGCTGCCAGATCTCCTGCCGATGCCTCCAGGAAAAGATCTCTGACAGCCAGCTGAACCTTAGGAAGAGGAACGGGGTGTGCATTGAACCAACGTTCACCTCAAGTGTATGTTAAAACACTGACCCGAGATGATTGATGTCACACTGACACTGATTGCAGTGTGCTCTAAAGCAGTTAGTTAAGCTCATAGGGTCTCAGATTTGGAGTACCACACAAAACAAAGGTCCTAGAAACACCGCATTTGAGAAAATCTGTGCCATGATCTATTTTGAATACAAAATTTGGACTGGTAGAAAAAAAAAGATCCCTTCAGGCTACTGCCGAGTAGCCACTACCTCTTCTTGTATGCAGCAGAACAGCAGTGCAGTCCTCTGATATTATGAATAAATTTACGAGACAGAATGTGCACCCACACGCTGTGTTCAAGTAGGATTTTGAGTACAATTACATTTCCAGTGGAAATTATCTTGATTAATTTAACTTAATGACATCATGTTGGAATGGAGTCACACCAATTTTTCAAAGTTTTAACGTAAGTGAAACAAAAGCCCAAAACTAACTTCCTACCTATTAGGCTTTATAATTCACCTCTCACAGCACTAACTTAGCTTTAGTAAAGATAACTTTGGCAGCAAGTAAATGATCCCGTCCTTCCCTTATTTCCCTCTATCACCGGAAAAGAGTAAAGCAATCAAGACTCCGGGAAAAGTAATCCGCTCATCGAGGATCATCAGGCAACAAAAGCACGTTTTTAGTAGGTTCAGTCACTGCAAACTGATTTTCAGCCCGGGTATTTAAGATGTGCTTTACGGAAACAGTCCCGAGGGACAACTCTGAGACAGTCGAAGCAACTTCTAAGCAATTGCCTAGACCCTCTACTATTATTAACGCACCCAGCGTTTCTTTCTGTGGGTTTTTGCTTGGTTGGTCGGGATTTTTTGTTCCAATAACACCACAATGCTTTCTGCCGAGTTTAAGCCTTGCAAACATCGCAAGAGCAGCAGCGGGCGCACCGTGAGCCCTTCTCCTGTCCGGAGAGCAGCGGGAGCGCAGTCCGGCCATCCCGATCAGCTGTCACGGCCGCGGACAGACGGACAGACGGCCCCAGCGCCCGCGGAGGGACGCCACGGCGGAATCCGAGTTCATAAAAGCCAACCCCGCCGAGCCGCGGCGGCAGAGCGAGGCCGCCCCACGCGCGCTCCCCGCCCGCTGCCCCCGCGGCGGCTCCGCCGTCCGGGGCCTCACAAAGGCGCTGGGTCCCCCCAGCCCAGCCCAGCCCAGGCCAGCGGCCCCCGGGCTACCTTGTATCGCAGCGCTTGGTGGATATCGGCCGCCAGCTGTCCTGTCCACCACTGCGCCTCCAGCTCCATCGGCGGCGCGGCGCGGCGCCCGGGCCCAGGCACCGGGGAGGAAGCGGCGCTCGCTGAGGGCGGGACAGGCAGCGCCACCCTCGCCCCTTTCTGGCTCGCCCCCGGTTAACCGCGATCAGCTGCCGCGGGGCACCCCCGGCCCCCCAGCCCAGCTGGCCGCCATGCGGGGCACAAGTGCGGCTCGTTAAGCCGCCCCCTCCCGCCGCGGGGCACGGCCGGGTGAGGGGGTCGCGGAGGTGGCGGCGGCCGCGGGGGAGGCGGCGGGGCGCGGCCCGGGACACCCGAGCGCGGCGCGGCGGCCCCGGGGCTCCGCCGCCATCACGCGGCGCCGCGCGCCGCGCCCATTGTTAAAGGGCCGCGCGTGTACAAAGCCGGGCAGCGCCCGCACGGGCCGGCCCGCCCGCCAATCGCCGGCCGCCTTACAGCGCGGCACCCACCGCCGCCAATCGCCGGCCGCTTTACAGCGCGAACGGGCCGCCAATCAGCGCGCGGCATTGGCGGGCCGGAGGCGGGCGCCTCGGGGCTCGAGAAGGGCCGGCGGGGCTGCCCGGCCCGGCCGGGGTCCCTCGGCCGGTGCGCTGCGCTCACCCCGCCGGAGCACGGCGGTCTATGGGTCCCCGTGAGCTCCGGATAGCACTTTTTGTTTTTTTATTGTTTCCCCTCATTCGCTTTCCCTCAAGTGCCCCGGCTGCTTCCCCGTTGGGCTCAGCTGTGAGGTTTCAGCGCGTGGCGGTGGCAGCGCCTCGCTCAGCTCTTGCCCTGCAGGCGCATTGTCCCGCACACGCCTCCTTCCTTCTCCGAGCTTTGAGGCTCCAGCCCTGGATCGGTGTGGCTTCCCGCTGGTTAAATCCCGGCAGAAGGTTTGCAGGAGCAATAATCCTCCCTTTCAGTAGCAGTGCCGCTCGCTCCGTGTGCTGGCGGCTGGTGACTGAGAGCTCCCACTCGTGCCCCTGCTTTAGCAGGAGGTGCTCTGCACCCGCTCCGTTCGCAGAGCCTGTTCCTTGCTGCTTCTGCTCCACTCCGGTAATCCCCCACTACGGACACCTTACGAAATAAAACTTAGTGCTTCATAGTCCTTTACATATTTGATTTTATAAATAATGAAGCAATTAGTTAATGAGAATATAAAACCTGGTACAACAGGTGGTGCAAAGTTATGGAGAAGAGATGCTTTGGGTGCAATTTTTTTGTTGAGGGAGTTATTTTCTTGCTTCTACTTTTGCTCAGACATGATTTTCCTTTTAATTAAGAAAATATAAACCAACTTTTTGACATAACCAGTTTAATGACTCTGTAATGGGAACTCTAAAAGCCTGTTCCTGTGTCTGATGGGTAATTATATAGACTATAGTAGTCTCTTTCATCTGAGGAGGTGTGCTCATAGGTGGAAGCTTTTGCTTTTGAGGACACATTTTTGGACAGTTTCCATTTATGACAGATTTCATTATAAAATGCTACATAGTTTTCTGAAGGAAAAAATCAAGAAAAGGTTGGTTGTTTTTTTTTTTTTCCTTGGTGCATAATTGCAAAAATATTTTATCTATTTAGACTGGCTGAGATCTGTGGACTATTGACAAATTAGTATTTTCCTGGTCCAATGGCTTTTTGTCTCATTTCTGTACATTATTTTATAGGCAAATTCATGTTCAAGCTAATTTTTATATTTGCAGATATATTGTTTTTAAATTGTTTGTCTTTGAAGAAAGGTAATACCCAACTGTGTGTTTCAAGGATAAGTCTCAAAAACAGATTCCGAATGGAGACACTGTCTTTTATAACATCTTTATTACCTTCAAAAATGTGTTGCCTGCATGAAGAGAAGGCTAATAAACACCAACATGCTAAAACCTGTTACAATGGGCCCAAACAGGGAAGTGATGGTCCTTCTCTTATTGCTGTTAGCAGTGCTGCTTCCCCCTAGAGCTTTTAAAGACTGTGTGGATTGGTCTGGTGCTGAACTGTTAAGCAGGGGAAAAATACTGATGTTTGCTGGCTATTTCTAAGATATGCTTGATTGACGTGGGTAGGAAACACCATCCTCATAAAGCTATGTACTCTCTGAGAACTATTTAATTTATACATAATCAAGAAAAACAATGATGTCGTTACCTGCCATGGTGAGGTGGAGTGAGCTGTGGAACTCCCTATGTCAGATTCTTTTTCCCATTACATTCTATGTTAATTGAGTTGTTGATTTTGTGAACAGTTACATCTGTCTGCTTTTCTTGCAATGAGAACAGGTTTGGAAAGGGCTTCATCATCCTGCCCAAGGCCAGGATTGCTTCTGGTATGCATTTTTCTGGTCTTGGAGACATTCAGAAAATCATCCTATTGAAAAAGCCAGAGCTCTTAAGTACAGCCTGGTTATCTGCAGGAAGCTTACATCCTATCAGCTGTTAACAATCAGCTATTGGAATAATCTCCTCAGGGAAGTGCTGGATTCCCCAACGCTGGACACATTTAAGATTCAATGGGATAGGGTGTTGGGACTTCTTGCTTTTGCCAGGAAGATTTGGACAAGATGATGCTGGAGCTCCCCTTCCAACTTGGCATTCTATGACCTCAGTTTGTGCCTTAACCCCAGCTGGAAGATTTGAGAATAATCTTGGAGTGCTGAACTGAGGCTGATTGTTTTCAGAGTTTGCAAGATCACACTTTTGAGGTTTGAATGGGAATGGGAGTTGCACAACTGTAATGAGAATAGGTTAATACAGCTTCTCTACATGCCTTATAATCAATCCTAAGTGTACAAATCAGTGGAGGTTTTCTAGCCAGTCCAGATTTCATCTACTTCTAATTGTCAAAGCTGTGTACAGTTTTTTAAGTAGTCCCCTGCTACCTTAGTCCCATGCATGTGAGTCAGGACAGAACAAAAACCAGCTCAGCAAGTCCTTAGAATAAACAGAGAATATTAAACATGACTTTCAGTGGCAGTAGTTACATTTTCTTAGCAAGAAACTGAACACATGAAGTATTTGTTGTATATAGAACCTGAGAAAACAGCAGAATTAAATGTTATGGAATAATTTTGAAATTGGTATCCTCTTTCTGTAAATGACCCTGGATCACCTAAACAAATATGTGTCTGGGGGTGGAAACGGGGGGGGGAAGGGGGAACTGAAATTGGCTGTAAGAGCTGCTGTCTGTGTTTTGAAAAGATGCCAAGTAGCAAGAAATACCGTTATTCTTGGAACTCACCAAGAAAAATTATTACCCTGAACTACATCCAAAATAGGCTAGAATGTAACCTGTGAAATCTGGACTGAAATCCCTGTAACATTTTTGTGGAATCTTCTGAAGAGGATGCTGCAGAAGTCTTAAAATTTATGGACCTGTAATTCACAGGTTATAGTCCTAACAGGTTTCAGACATGGTGGGTGAGCTGGCTTCTCTTTGTAGTTACTGGGAGGTTAGATCTGTATCTCAGGATTTGATGCATGTATTTATGTGTTTAAGCTTTTTTTTCCTCCCCTAGTTTTCTTCTGATGGTTCTTGGCCTATGAAAAAAGGAATGTGACTTTAAAATACAAATTAAGAACTTGGAAGTAATTGCCAAGTACAGCAAATGCTCTGATCCTGCAAACCACATTAGAACCTGTTTACCCCTCCCAATATAAAAGAATCTGTTTCTGGTGTGCTGTTCTTAGTTTTAATGGTACATCAGCCACAGAGAACAAGTTTCTAAAGACTGACACTTTTACTTCTGTGCCCCTTGCCATAAGATACACCTCTGAAATTTGGATTTATCTTGACTGGCAGAATGCGATGCATCAACACACAGCCAGCACCCAGGATGGAAGCTAAATTCTGGGGTGACATAGCACTGAAGGAAACATTTAAGTAATGGCTCAATTGCTATGTTAATTGTGCGTTTTGTTTATTGGTTCTTGCTTTTGTTTTGTTGCTCCTTGGTCATTCTCATCTGAATACAGACATGGTAATTCCTTAAAAGGCATTTTTGAAGGACTTAGTTTTTGGAATTAAAATGTAAGGGAATCTCAGTTTTGTAGAACTGAGAATAATTAAAAAAAAAAAAGTGCAAAATTAATTCCTGAGTTTCTTGGGGCTGAGAAAGTTAGTTCTGCTTTTGTTCTGTCCTTCTTGATCTTATTTTCAAACAAAGGCTGCATCTGATGACATTCATAGCAGAAATATTTCAAGGGCATTTAATTAAAGAGAATGAATCGCCCTGAAGACAGGACTGTAATTGCTCACAGAGCTCTTTTGCAGCATGGTGGTAGATGAAATGTGCCATGTTGGTAGAAAGTCTTAACACTTCAGAAGAATTAATGAAGGAAGTCTCGTACAGAAAATACTCTGGGGTTGTATTTGTAAATCCTGTATTGAATGCTGAAGGTACTCTGTGGGTAGAATTTTCAAAGTTGTCTAGGGATTTGAATTCCCAGAATAGCTACTGAAATGTGATTAATAGATTTGATCTGAGCTGGCAAATATCCTTTGGAACTGTTGACTTTAGTTAATATGGCTATTAATACAGAAAACATCTGAGAATGCTCAGGCCTGAGCGATACATACTTTTCATGAGACATTTTAATGAACAATTTGGCTTTAAATATTTTCCCATCTTCTGGAAAGCTGTTATAAAAATGTGCACCCATGAATGTTTTCTTTGGCATTAGGATGAATATATATGTTTTTGATAATGTGTTGGATGAAGGAAACATGCATATAAGTGGAAGGGTGTTGGTGGATGGAAGTTGTACTGGGGGGTTGTTCTTTTCTGTAAGTTGCACTCATGGTTGTCAGTAACTAAAAAGATGGAGGAATTTTGCATCTAAAGCAAATGTACTTCCTGGTTGGAGGGCTTCAGCTCATTTGACTGGAATTTAGTAAAGATTTTTTTGTCCTGCAGGTAGCTTAGGGATGGGGGGAGAGCAGTTAGGAGTACCCAGTTGTTCCAGTCAAATGTTTTGATTTACTTATATCCACAGTATTTAAGTAGGGCAAACTGGCCTATTCATTTTCATTTCAAACTTGAGGTCTGTCACAATTTTTTTTATTTAAATATAGTATCTAGAGCTGCTAAATTAGGAGCCAGCCCAGGCAGAGCACTGCAAAGTTAATGCTTTTGTCTGCTAGGGGTGGCCCAGGAGGAGAACAGCCTGCAAACATGGAACAGGGGCACTTTATTTTG